CTACTCTGCTGTGTTGTTTAAAATTAATGAAATTAGGGGTAGATTTATAACGAACATGATGGCACAAGAGGGTATATGACAAACAAGAATTAACCTGATTATCATCCATTCATTTGATATACTATTATCAATATAGCTAGTAAACCAGTGTCTTCCATGACAATTCTTTCCAGCAGTTCAAGCTGGGCAAAGAGCTACAGCTCAATCACAGAACGCCCTGCATGTATGCTGAAAGATTGGAATTCAGTTCTTGATCACTTGTTTGTTATAGGAAGATATCTGAAACAACATCATATTCTAATAAATCCACCTCCCCTAATTTGGTTCCTTCAGGTGGGCCAAACATGAGCTATCATCATCTCCAGATGATGTAATACATCAGGTCTGGGCAAAGTTATGATTTAGTAACATATGGATAAGGCATAGAGTTTAAAAGTCGAATTGGATCATTGTATGGCAGGAGATCAAAAGGAAAAAACAAATTGAGAAAGACCGAAATGGAGTGCAGATATAATTGCTTTTGTCTGAACAAGGAGATATAATAGGATCTTGAAGTTTGTCCAGCAATCTGTGCTGAATGGAAACATAGGTTGTTCCATTATAAAACTAAAATTCCTGCTGGAGTGGAATGCTTTGTAAGGAAAACTTTGTAGACTGTGTGCCTTCATAAACTCTCTACTGCCTGACATGGCTTACGACTTGAACAGATGTAACTTGGTTCGTCTCTAAGCCCTCTAAATAAGGCAAAAATAGGAGGGTTGGCAATTAAGAAGGGAAGACATTGCTTGTCATTCAAAGGAGAATTTGTGAAGCAAGTAATGGATTCCTCTTACAGGTTTGGTGTTGTTGTTAGCTGCAAAGTCGTGTCCAACCCATTGCAACCCCATGGACAATGTTCCTCCAGGCCTTCCTGTCCTCTAACCATCCTCTAGAGTCCATTTAAGCTCACACCTACTGCTTCCATGACTCCATCCAGCCACCTCATTCTCTGTCATCCCCTTCTTCTTTTGCCCTCAATCTTTCCCAGCATTAGGCTCTTCTCCATTGAGTCCTTCCTTCTCATTAGGTGGCCAAAGTATTTGAGTTTCATCTTCAGAATCTGTTCTTCTAAAGAGCAGTCAGGNAATTCACTGGCATAGCTTGCTTAGAAACTTTACTGATTCTTCTTTCTGCTGCTTGTCATATTTCAATGGGTATTTCCATCAATTCCTGTGGTCTTGGTGATCAGTGATTTAAGTGCAGATTTAATTTCATTTTCTGTACTAGAAGTTCTCATAAGTAGGAGATATTGTCTAAGTTACTGTTGTACAGTATTTCAGTATATTCCTTCCATTTTGGTTTGTTCTCCTTCGAATAGATCATTATCTGTCAACTAGTCTCCTTTGGCATATCACTTCCAAGGTTGGAACTTGCTTCTGGACTCTCAGATTTTTAAAAATATTTTCCTTGTTTTTCCATGTCTGCTTCCATCTCCAGTTTGTTTACTGATGTTGTTGTAATACTGCTTCTTGTCTGTTCTAACAGCTCTCTGAAATCCCTTGTTAAAATTATGAGATGTTTGTTTTTCTTGGCTTTGATTTGTCTTCTTGGCAATTTCTATGGTTTGTTCTGACATTCAGTTTGCTTTATGTTCCCCAATTTTAGGCAATCCTTTTTCATATTCATCTTTAACAAGTTTTTAAAGTTCACTCCATACTTCCTCTGGTTCTGTTAAGGGCAAAGCATTTCTGAAAAAAGTTGCCATGAAAACTGCAGGGATTTGTCCAGGCAGTTTCCAAGAACTGGACATTGCTGAACAGACAAAAAAATGATTACAGTAAATAATGTCTATTCCTGTTAGGTAGAGCATCGCTCACATTAAAATAGTGTGACTCTTAGAGTTCCATGATCCAAGCATTCTTATTTGTTCTGTACAATAGAATATATATATATATGAAATTGTCCACTTTAAGAATGAGTTTGTTTCCTTTAATAAAGACAGTCTGTTAGCCTCACCTGCCTAAAGGTAAAAGTCCCCCTCGCACATATGTGCTAGTCATTCCCGACTCTAGGGAGCAGTGCTTATCTCCATTTCAAAGCCGAAGAGCCAGCGATGTCCGAAGACATCTCTGTGATCATGTGGCCAGCATGACTAAACACTGAAGGTGCATAGAATGCTGTTACCTTCCCACCAAAGGTGGATCCTATTT